TTACAATAAAGGTCAAAAGTCCTTTACCAATTTTTTTTTTAAAAATAATTGCACTTTAATCCGGTTCGGTTCTTGCAATAGGGTGTGAATCAAAACATTTTCTAATTTTGGGCTCTTGGTAATTCGGGCAACTCCCTGATTTTACCAAAATTTTGAGCCTCAATCAAATTCCTATTAACTGATGTTAGAATTTTTTTTTAAAAAAAAGTCTTGATATATTGGGCAACTAACTGTCTAAGTTGGGCAAAAAATCTTGGCCAAACGGTACCAAAATTAGACAGGTTTTACTGTATATTTATTAATTAACCGTTAGACTCTTGTTAATTATTCACGCTAAAGCCCATTGTCATCGAGTTATAATCTCGGTGAAACGACAAAGTTTGAAAGAGCGGAGAGAAGCTATTTTCTTTAAGGTCGGCCCAAACCCAGTAATGACCATGACCATGAGTGTTATAGAGTAACGACTAATGTGTGGCCAAAATGAACTTTAAAATTTTGATATCTGAGTAAATTTTGATGTAATTGGACCAGATTTTTCGAAAATTTTGATTTTTATTGATGGAGATGGGTTGATCGAGTCTCTCGGAAAACCGAGTCTTTAATTACAAAATTTAAACCGAGCCGGATATTAACCTCTATATATAACAGTCAACCGGTTTGAATCTTTTGATTATTAATAACTAATTTTTTTTAAATACTGTTTGCCAAGCTACCCACTCAACAATACAATTTATTCTTTCTCTCCTTATAGATATAATTTGACGGAAGAGAATTTTGAAAGATTATTTCTACAAGATTCTAATAAATTTATCTGCGAAATGGTTAAAACCGATCCGATATTATTATTTTTTATACAAATCAGAACCTTGAACCGTTATTTTTCTTGACTTTAAAATAGGGAAATAAAATAAATATTTTGAGTTTGATATAATATTTCCCACTTCTAAAAAGTTGGGACACGGGCCGGGCTTAGGTCTAAAAAAAATTTTACCGCCAGACTTTGAGCGAAATCTAACCGTTATATTTTGCAAAGCTTTTAAACAAAAAAAACATATGATAACAATTTTATTATTTTATAAATATCTCCCCCCCCCCATCGATTTTAATTTTTAATGGATTTTAAGAAAGTATCGATTTCCACCCTCTCGTATTCTCTTCCCATTCCATGCTTTTCTTTAATCTTTTTTTTTTAATTTCGCGTGAAAAATCTTTTCACAATTCGCAACATTGTTTTCCTTTCCCATTATATTATTTTTTTTTTATAATTGATTTTAAATCTCAAATTATATTTGTTTTAAAAAAATATGTATACATAATTTTTGAGGTCATATTATCCTGACTTGTGTCAAATTTTTGAAATAATCGAAATTAAAATCATATTTTACAAGAATGGGAATGGAATGGGAAAATGAAATGGGGAAAAAAAAGTGAGTGATAGAAACGAGAGAAATATAGTTAAAAGCTAGACCGGAAATAAAAATAAATTATTTACCCGCCCGGCCCGAATTAATTTAGACAAAATGTAATGATATCATATTTAAAAATTTAACCCCACCTAATGACATATAATAATACCTAGACTGACGATGCGTTCATTAAAAGTGTACATCAATGAAAAACAGCTGGGGACGCTATTTTGGTTACCCATATCATTACTAAAAATTTTAAACGAGAGCCCAATTTATTCCTATGTCTTACGCATACTTTATCAAAGAATTGCCTGATCATCGAAATAATAAGGGAGCAAGTTATCAATTTAATAGTAGCTTTTAACACGAGAATAATTATTATATGGATTACCAAAATGGCAGTTCCAGCTGATTTGCATTCAACGACGCTTTCAAATGCATGCATTATGAATGCATCTTCAGTCTAGGCATTATTAGCGGGCATTGGCCCCACCCGGCCCGAAATTTTTTATAAAATATTAAGCCCGACTCAGCCCGAACCCGAGATTATTTTTAAAAAATAGACCCTACCCGGGCCATTATTTATTGATTTGACGTATTAACGAATTATTTTATATCAAATATGTATTAAACGAGAAAAAAAATAACACCTTTATTTTTTTAGAAAATTTGAACCTTTTAGAGATAATAGTTTTTTTATATTATAAAATTAAAAATTGCCACCATTTAATTTTAACACTTATTAGGTTTACTTCCGGATTTTTGAAATCCCTCATTCATTGACGACATTTATAGAATTAAATTATTTTTCACCATGCTCACGTAATTATTATAAAAAACATTTTTTTTATATCTATCAAATTAGTTATATTATAAAATTTCCTATAAATGATATAATTATTATTTCATATCCATCCATAGTATATTTATATTTATAAAAAAATTAAATTAAAAGTCATCTAATTTGATTTTTTTGAAATTTATAATTTTTTCCGATAAAAATATATATAAATACCTTCTCTCTCGTACTTCATTCCAACCCCACTTCCCCTTTCCTTGTTCATCCTATTCCTATCTATTCCTCCTTTTTTTTATTCATTCATTTTTAATAGTTCTTAGCAAATTATTATATATCGTATAGCATGTCTTCCTCGTAATAATTTTGAAAAATTTTAATATGTATAATTAACAAAACAATTATATTATTTATTTTTTTAAAAAAATTTAATAATAGGACGAATTACATTGGTTAATGCGAAGATTTTATTTAATTCTATATAATCAGGGTTGTGAACCCGGTTCAGGAATTTAAAACTTTATTTAGCGGAAATTTTTGATTGTAAGAACTAACTAATTTTCTTAAAGAGGTCCGAACCCGCGCCGGGTCCATAGTACTCTGGGTTAGATGGGTTACCCATAAATTGGTTTCGGTTTGGTCTGTGGTCTCAGAATATCCAACTAAACAATTCTAATCCCTAATTTGGGTTCACAACCCTTCCCATAATCGCTTTCAAAATTATTTCTCAACTTAACGTTAGGATCAGGGTTTTCTGGTCAAAATTGTCAAATTGTGGTAAAAAATTATCTGTAGCACTATTTGAAATCGCGTTTTTAGCAATATAGCGATAAAATTAGTCAATTTTAATAGAGTTGTACCATTATTTTGTCGCTCTTTATTAAGAACGAATCTTAGAATTGCAACTGCATATTGACAGAATGTACTGTACTCCCTACATGTGAAGCCATGTCTAGATATGCCTCCACCATTTTATTTTTGGATGATAAATAAATTCTATGTCTAATAACTCTTAATTCAATCACTCGTTTAATAAATGAAATAAATTCATTAACAATTATTTCAACATCAAAAAATATAATATTCATTAAACATATACTGTTTCTAAAAAATATTATTTATCAATTAAAAACGTTAAAATTGCGAAAGTTTTGTGGGAAGGAGGTCTCTGCATGTTGAAGAATAAATTATGGGAGCACCGTTATGGGGGGGGGGGGACCTGCAAACCCTGGTTAAGATTAATTACCTTAAAAAATGGAGTTTTGCAAAATAGCGTTTCCAAAAATTTGGATATTTCGAGCCTTTTGCACATTAAAAACTTTATCGTCTGCTTACCTATATATCAATTAAATTCCGAGTAGTTTCCATATTTTGACATAGAAAGGGTTAATATAATATATATTTATAGTTTGCATTTATTTTATTATAATGACACCCAGATTTCTCTAAGGCTAGAAAGGCTCTAGTGAATAGGCTCATAGCCTTGCTTATTTATTTTTGTTATAACGAACCGATTTAACCCTTTTTTTTAAAAAAGATCTACGTGTCACGAGGTTCTCTCGTTCCATTACGACAGTGATAATTTTTATTCGAGATTTGTTGATCGTGTATTTTAATTTTCATCTTCATTCAATTTTAACCTTCATTTTATTTTATTTAAAAATAATAAATAAACCTTATCTATCTATATTATAATCATTTGTAATTAAACCATAAGGTCTTGCTCGTGTATTATTTAATAATTCATTTTTGTTTTCCGAGTAAATATTAAATCTCGTTGAAGGAATAATACATTTTTCTAAACAGGGAATGCCTAAGTTCCATTTAAATAAAAATACCACCACCCCCCCCCCATTCCTTTAACCATTTTTTTCTTCTATTATTATCTTTTCTAATTATCTCTTTTTTTCTCTCTTTTCTCAAATGCATATTTATTTTTTATTCCTTTTGAATAAAATTAATATAATCGAGCAAATGGTTTTATTTTTATCTTCTAAAACCCCCAACTGATTCACGAACTATTAATACTTTTTGCCATTTTTGATCAAAGGAATTTTATAAAAAAACATTATTATTATTATTATTTATTATTTGGAAAAAGAAAGGGTAAATAAATTTTTGGGATATTTTTTAAAAAAGGGAAATATAGTAATAAATAATTCGAAAGCTTCTCATATTTCGGGCCAGATTGCCCCGGACAGGACCCGCCATAGCTATGAACCAAACTCGATTGTTATGATTTCCGCTAAATAGTCTGATCGAAAAAAAAACTTTTTTTAATATTTATTTTTGAAATCTTAATAATTATATTTTAATAAACCTATTATAATACTATCTATTTATTATAAAATTTAAAAAAATATATATTTACAACCGATCAATAAATAGTATAACATATTTTAAAACATTGTGATTGTAAATGTCTTCCCTAATTGAGAGCGGTTATTATTTGAAGAAAAACTTTTATATGCTACTAGATATTTTGTAGATAGAATATTTAGTTTCTCAAAATGAGAACCTAATTTATTTATCGCCCATTCTTATAAAAAGGTTGAATTAAATTTCACTTGTTTTTTTTAACTCGATCACCATTGCGAAATGCACCGATTTTGCAGGCAATTTTTTTTCGGACCCAGATTTTGTTTCTTAAATATGACCTCCTTCAGCTAATTTTGCTATGGCGATATAATGAATAAATACCATTCCTAAATTCTGATTCGATTATTTTTGCCCAATATTTTTGGATTAGAAATTTCCCGAAATTTAGCACTAAACTATAATTTTAATCTTACAAGACATTCACTGCTTGGTGTAATTCCCACCTGCGAAAAGCGGGAACGCAGATAGAGAGCATAGAAGAAGACTTCAGGAACGGTCTCAGGCTAATGCTATTGCTGGAAGTGATATCGGGTGAACAGCTACCCAAACCTGACCGGGGCAAGATGAGGTTCCACAAAATCGCCAACGTTAACAAGGCCCTCAAATTTATCGAGCTTAAAGGTGTCAAATTGGTCTCCATCGGGGCCGAAGGTTTTAAAACATTAATTATTTTCTTTCCTGTCTTCCCCAAAAAGTGAGTGAAAAGGAAAATGACTGAATAAAAACTAGAAATTAAGTAAAATATAGTTAAATCGTGTAATTTTACTATTTTTCTAGTAAAAAATCTTTTTTTAATACTCATATTTGCTCAAGAAATCGTTGACGGCAACCTCAAAATGACTCTAGGAATGATTTGGACTATCATCTTGCGTTTCGCTATTCAAGATATCACTATAGAAGGTTTACATGAAATGAGAATAGAAATATATCTTTTTTTTATAAAAAAGGAAGTAATAATATTTTTGTAAAATAATTTAAATTTGTATAATTAATTACGATTTTTCCGAATTAATGAGCTTAAGCTATTTTTTTTATGAAAAAAAAACAACTTTCAACGCACGTAAAGCCTTTAGGAAAATAGTAAAAAATAAATCGAAAATGTCACCGTTCAATATATTCCATAATATATAATTTAATCTTTATTTTTTTTTTAATTGATATGTATATTTTTATTCTTTTACCTATTATTATGACATATTTTCCCCCGTATTAATAATTATTTTTTAAGAAAAAATTTGATTGTTTAATATCCTATCACGTCTTACCATTCCTTCGCTAATAATTTGTGGTTTATACATTCCATTTGTATATCTTTGCTTTTTATTATATTGAGACAAAATCTCCATTTTTCATCTTCGTCTTCACGCATATGCCAATCATAATAATATAAAATGATTGGCATAATTTCTTAATCCTGGAACATTTATGCATTATTTGATTTTCATTTGATATTAGATAAATTTTCATATAACGTAAAAATACGACAGTTTTGGTATGCTGAAATTCAGGAACATGTTAGAATCTTTAAAGTTTAATGCGCACTTTTATTTTTAAAAACATTGTGTTTTATACGAATTTTGGATTCCGTCAAAATCGAGTCCTTAATAAATATGCGCTTATAAAATTAAATTAAACTTTAAAAAATCGTTGTTAAACGGCTAATTCAATATTTTTGGCCAAAAGGAATATTAACGCGAGCCTGGAGATTTTTCTCATAGATGGTTGAATGGTTTGGGCATCTAGTAACGAAATCTCGAGACTTATATAATATTACTTTGGCCAAATCGAGCTATTTAGCGGCACCATATTAATATGACATATTGGATATATACCATCAAATCAATATAAACTACCACGCATGATTAGTGAGAAATCACCATTCGTGTGATCCCTTTTTTAAAATATATAGTATTTTATTTAGTAAAAAAATAAAATTTCTAGGCCAAATAAAATTATTTTATCAGGTAAAGATCTGCACGGCCTGGCTTAAATAAATTTAGAAATTGGGGTAAGTTGGACAATTTGTGTTACCTTAGGGTCAGGCTCCCTGGGGCAAAAAAATATTCTCACTCTGAAATCCTAATAATTTGAGAACGAACTTTTGTATATTTTTTTTTAGGTTGTGGTTTGGAATTTTTTATTGCTAGAACTTAAATTTATTTTTAAAATTTAAAATGAAAGAGAAAATAATGGATAATTATATAAAAATCAAAAAAAGGATTTTAAAATATTTTTAGATAATTTTGTTCTTACTATGAATTTGAACAAGCAAATATATTTTATCAAATATGTGAGAAAAAGGATATAAATAATGCAATAACCCTAAGAATCTCATTTTTTAGGTCTGATTTGTTAAATTGTTTTACCTGATGCATTTTTTTTAAAATATACCTAATTTAGAAATGACTGCCAAAGACGGTCTATTGCTATGGTGTCAGCGTAAAACTGCCCCCTACAAAAACGTCAACGTTCAAAATTTCCATATGAGGTCATTTTTCCCTTTTTTAAAATTTCTAAATATAAATGTCTGTAGATAGAATCTTTATTTAATTTTAATTTAATAAAAATAATCCATAAAATTAGTTTCAAAGACGGTTTAGCTTTTTGTGCCTTAATTCATAGGCACAGACCCGAACTCATCGATTACGGAAAATTGTCCAAAGTATAAAAAAAATATTTTTTTTTTATTTTTCAGTTATGTAACGTAAATTTATTGGATAATGTTTTTTCCGATGACATTAATTTAAAACTGCGCATACATTGAATCAGCTGTAGTCAATATCATTGGCTGAATGATCGCCATTAAAAATATGTCTAAATACCTTTTATTAGCGGACTTATTTGCACTTTTTAATGTCTTTCATTGAATGAATGAATCATCATTCTAAGTTTGTAAATGTTATAAGGGTGGGAAAACAATATTTAACCAAAAATTAATCAAATGTTAAAAAGAAATACAAATGTGGGCCTTTAAAAAAACAGTCAAAACAAAAATAGGAAGACCACCAATATCAAAACAAAAAATGTCATTTTCTTATCAAATTTTTAGTAAAAAAAATTTTAATTAATTTTTTAAAATTATTTTCCATATTTAATTAAATATTTTTAAAAATAATCTAAGAAAAAATTATAAAATATTTAACAATTTATGAATATTTTTATGATTCTTACTTGCCCCCTAAAAACAATTGAACCATCATATATCATGAACATCAGTTTATTATCATCAATATATATCCAATCAGGAATACATTCTTAAAATAACACATCAAATAATCATAATTAAAAAAAATTGACATATCATAAGCTGGAAGACAAAGCTTCCTAAAAAAACGTTATCCTTTGTACCAATAAAAATAATAATAAAATAAATCCACTAAAAAAATAACTTTCAAAAGATCACTTTTGATTGAAATTTCATATATAACATTATATATATATAAATATATAACAAAAATACAAAACTACAACACCCCCTAGCTAGTGTTAAATGTTATTGTTTTTTTTCCTCTGGACTAATGTTGTTTAACGGCTAAGACATATTTTAGCCAAAATATATTAGGAAATCATCAAGATTTCTTTAATATATGTCCAAATCTTTCCACCCTCTATATGCAAAATCTAAAGGCTTGTGTGATAGTTTTTGGCTAAAATATTGGATTAGCCGTTTGACAACATAACTCTGGACCAAAAAAGTTTCGATTATTTTCTTTTAACTTACAATAAAATGTTGCTGGAATATGGGCTTATTCGAAAACGAATCGATTAATGAATTATTCATATTCGATTTCTTTAAAATTGAATTGAATAATTTACTACTTTGCATCAATCGAATTACAGAGTAGTAAAGTAAATATTAATTGTGTACGAAATTTGTTTTTGTTTATAGAGAAAAATTCTACCCGCGTGAAAATTTTATACAAAAATATTTATAATATTTTTAAACTTTAGGAAGATCCTTGGACCAATTTAAATACCGCTTTCGATGTGGCGGAAAAGCATCTGGATATCCCTAAAATGCTTGACCCCGAAGGTTTTTTTTTAAAAAATATAAATTTGATCGATTTTTTGAAAGGAATATTTGAAGCCCTGCATCGAACTTATTTTCTCCGGTTTATTCAGATCCGAGAAAAAAATTGACCGGCTATTAAGCCGACTATTTTTTTAATAAATTCAATTGTTTTTATTAGACTGTTGGAAAGGTACCATATTCAGAGACCTGCAGGTTCAATCCTAAGCTTAGGTAATCCGTGTCGGGCCTGAAGATATAAAACTCAGGCCGTGCAAATGGTACCCATGTAGGTCTCAGACCATATTGCCACAAAAGCTAAAAAAAAAATATATGAGTGGTGGAAGGATTATAAATTAAAGCTAGGCCTCATTTATAGTAAACGCGTTATTTAACATCGAAATCACAGCTGATTCTTATCGTCAATAATTTCTGAAATATATGTTGCAACATACGTTATTCAAATTTTATCATAGCGTTATCATCATACCGCTGCATATTAATAATTATACATTTTTATTGGCTTGATTTTATAAATAACGCAACGCTTGAACATATCGCGTTTACTATAAATGAAGCCTTTGTGTTATTTTTGATTTTTTTATCTATTAAATGATGTCTCACGCAAAAAAAATTGATATTTTAAGTAAAATTTGCAAGAAGCATGTTCGAGTATTCCAAAAAAAAATCCTTATTCAAAATCTTTGGAAAATTATTATTTGAAGAGAGCATTTCAAAACTGTGCTTAAAAAAATAAAAATCAGACATGAAAACAAAATAATTTAATTTTAATCATGACCTGGATTTGCTAAAAATTAATTTTGAAATCCGACCGACTTGGATCAGTCAATGCAGGGCTGGTTATAGAAATTATCGTAGAAAGAAAAATAAAAGTGAATGGAATGTAGTTTGGAAAAAAATTACCTTAATTAAAATAAGAGAGAAATTATAAGCAAAAAATAATAATTTAACCAAAATATTTCTTACTTTACCTATATTTATTATTTCGTGTCAACATGTCACACACAAACTCATTCCTTTATCACCATGACATATAGATATCATAAATATGCCAAAGCCGGATGACAAAGCCATTATGACATACGTCTCTTGTTATTACCACGCTTTTTCGGGCGGGCTCAAAGTTTTTTTTACACCACACTCTTCTCTATTTTCAAAAACAAAACATTTTGCCTTTTCTCCCATATATGCTAAAGTATTTTTTTGTTTACTAAAATTCTTAGTAACCGCATGCGAGTGGCTTAAGAATGGCATGAAACTACTGACACCCAACTGCATCACATATTCATAATTTGTTTTATTTTTATCCCTCGACTGTCCTCTTTGCTTTCAAGTATATATAAATATGTTCATGATAAAAATATCATACGCATTTTATCCCAAAACAAGACTAGCTCTATGCATGTTCAAGGCTCAGACCATCGTTGTTCACAATCTTGCTTGCTCTATATTATATATTGATAAATAGAATTATATTCTATATCGAAATTCACTTAAATTCCATATAATTTTTTATACGCTCTATTATTTTAATAAGCTTGACTGTATAGGTTTATTGACTACGAATTATTACCATCTTTGCTACTTTTTATAAAAGAAATTTCATTTGCCTTTTTTTAGATATTATAAACGCTCCCCGACTCGACGAGAAAGCGGTCATGACTTACATATCATCTTATTACCACGCTTTTTCGGGCGCGCAAAAAGTTGCTTTTTACATTTACATTATTTTAGAATATAAAAGATTTTTTTGTATTTACAAGTAATTTGTTTTGTTAAATTGGTTAACTTTTCATAATACAATAATTACGGCAAGTTAAACAATTTTATAAGAAGTTTGTATAAAAATGTATTGAAATGTTTAATAAAAAAAATCATATTACAGTGAAAGGGGAGGGATATTTTTTGCACCAGATCTTAAAAAGAAACAAAATTTTATTATTATATTATTTTTTTGTGATCACTATAAATATTGAGCAATTTAAACTTAAATATGTCATTAAAAAATAGTTCAGTTTTTTCGTTTAATATCATTTAATATTTTTGTGTTACAAAAAAAAAAGAAAAATGTAATAGGATCGTTATATCTTTTCCATCATCTGGTGTAAAAAAAATCCCCCTTTTCACTGTAATACAGTTGTAAATTTTCTTTCGGTAATGACAGATAAATGAATCATGAATGCGATTTTTATCTTTAATTTAACAAAGCATGGTTCGATGAATTAATTAACAAATAAATAAACCTTTACTAATTCAAAACATTAACTAACATATTTTAAGATGTATATTCTCCTTGTGGGCAAAAAGAAAATTATTGTACCTTTTTTATAAAGTGACCCCTTTTAAAACGAAGTTCAATTAGTTTAGATTCTTTCATTTTTAACCTATAAATTAATATTAATAAATATATCAATAAAAAGTAGTTATTAAAAATCATAGTGGTCATTTTATCAGGGGGTTTTCTTTTATTTTTTACGGTTTGGCTGCCAAATTTTCTTAGAATCAATCGCACAAAATTATATTGGAAATGAGTTTTGGGGGGTAATCCACATTCCGAATGGGTCATTTTAATTAAGGATTCATGTATATAGGGTCGAAAGCTTTAGACAACTTTTGATTATTTCTTCTTTTTTTTTAATATTTAAAGGCTGAAACCGCCGCTAATAGGATATGCAAGGTTCTGAAAGTTAACAAGGACAACGAACAATATATGAACGAATACGAAGGTCTCTCTAGCGACCTACTAGAATGGATAAAACATATTATACCATGGCTGGAGGATAAGAATTTGTATGGGAAGGATGGACTCACCTTTCCTGGGTAGATATTTTGATAATATAAAATAAATATGTAAAAAATATCGTAAAGAATTACCGTGTGATAGGGCTTACTGTAAAAATATTAGCGCGAAAGTCGCTTATAGATTAGATGACTCTGGTTAACTTCTTTTTATAATCAGCCGCCTCACTTTAGAGAACTTTGATAGTTCCTTTTTTTATAATCAGCCGAGGATCGGAGATATTTATTTAAGTGGTGGTAAAATGATGACTTTATCACAATTTATTAATGTATATATATGACATATTTGACGCTACGGTAGTTTAAGAGGATCGGATCAGCGCTTTTTGTTTTTCTCATTTTACAAACCTTTTTTTTTCTTTACCTTTTTTTAAAAAAAAATTTCTTACACAAAAATATTAAATTTTAAATAACTCAAATTTCTCTTTATTTTTTTTCAAAAACAATATTTTTTACAAAACTTGTATAAAAATATAATAATTTTAAAACAAATTAATTTTTTTAAAAAACAAAATATTTATTTTATAATGATATATATATATTTATTTTTATTATTATTTTTCTTTACAATTATATATCAAAAAAAATAATAAACAAAAAAACGATTATCTTATATAAAAAAATTAATACACCAATACTAATGGACTGCCTATGCAGCTCCTCCCTTCAAAAATAATCCACCTCCTTTCGCTCCATGTCTAACAAAATATATTTCAGAAAGTCATCCAGTGTCTCCTGCCACTCAGAATCTGGCCACTTTTCATCCGCAACCTCCCCTTTCTCCTGTAATCTTATCCGCTCCTCAGGAGTCAAACCCATATCCGCTAGCTCCCTCAACGCCTCAATTCTTTCTGCTTGTTCGGGCTCCAACAGATATCCAGGATGGCCACGAGCATTCCTTCTCTGGCCTCCGAGGTCTCTACAACTTTCACACCGTAGCTTGCTGTCTCCTCTATACCTGTTTCATTCCAATTTTCCCCAACCTGCTCCGCTCCATCTGACCGCCATGATTCCGGTACTCTCATCATCATTTTCTCTACTGTCCCCAAACTGGTCTCCTCCCTCTGTCGCTCCACGAGACATGAACGCCGAATGTGACTTTGTTCCCGGCATCCATAACACTGGCGGTCATCTCCTCGGACTCCTCTATGTTCATCCCTTCGAATTCCACGATTGTCATCTATCCGAATTCTGTGAAAATTTCTTAATTCTATCCCTGCATGGTCCCAATCTATGGAGGGTCGTTAGCCTTGGCCTTATTATAAAATGGATCTCGAAGTTTTCAAAAACCCAATTCCGTCTAATTTTGGTTATACTTATTTACTTTATGTGAGTTATGTATACAATATCTAATACCCTTGCTACCCCTGAATTCTCCTCTTTCCCCTTATTTATATATCTAATTTCCACATAACTCGATTACCTTTTATTAGAACTCATTTTATTATATTTTTAATTTTTTTTTTTTTTTAAAAAATCACAAAAATTTCTAAAATAACTTTTCCAAACTTCAAAAATAACTTATCTCTCCCTTTTTTTAAACTAACCCTAGGAGCCCGATTTGGAGAGAGTAGAGCAAATGGACGAGAGTACCAAATCATGGCGGCCAGATAGGGCGGAGCAGGTTAGGGGAAAATTGGAATGAAACAGATATGGAGGAGCATAGACAGCAAGCTACGGTGTGCCGAGGTGTAGCGACCTCGGTGGCCGGAGAAGATGTTCAGAGAAGGAATGCGCGTGGCCACCCTGGATATCCATTGGAGCCCTACAAGCAGAGATAAGTGAAACTGAGGCATTGAGGGAGTTAGCGGATATGGGTTCTCCTGAGGAGCGAATAAGATTGCAGTAGGAAAGGGGGTGGTGGATGAAGAGTGGCCAGAGACACTGGTTGACTTTCTGGAATATATTTTGTCAGACACGGAGTGGGAGGAGGTGGATTTTTTTTGAAGGGAGGAGTTGCTGTAGGCAGTCCATTAGTATTGGTGTATCAGTTTTTTTTATATAAGATAATCGTTTTTTTAATATATAATTTTTTTTTTTAATTGGTAATAGTAAAGGAGAATAATAATAAATATATATTATTATAAAATAAATATTTTGTTTTTTAAAAAAATTAATTTGTTTTAAAATTATTAATTTTTTTTTATTCAAGTTTTGTAAAAAATATTGTTTTTGAAAAAAAAATAAAGTGAAATTTGAGTTTTTTAAAATTTAATATTTCTGTGTAATATTTTTGGGTAAGAAAAAATTTAGAATAAAAAGGTAAAGAAAAAAAAGGTTTGATATATATCTTGCGGTTAAAGTTAATTGTATATAAAAAACATTTGAATATTATTTCAACAAGAAAATAAATTAACTTTTCCATTTATCGATACTTTAAATATTAGATTTATAGCCGAAAAACAGTATATAAACAGATAATATAATATTATAAATAAAAGGCAATAAAAATACAAAGTAGAATATATATAATAATTACTAGAGGTATTCTATTTTTTATAATCAGCCGCCTCACTTATAAGGACCTTAGTAACTCCTTAAACCTTTTAACGTTTATAATAACATAAAGATAACACACAATTTCATGTCTAGGATAATTTATTTATAGATATTGATACTATATTTTTTCTTACAGATAATATTTCCAAAATAACAAATTTTACATATGAAAACAGAATATTTTGCATGCAAAGAAAAATAATATAATATTGTTTTTTCTTTTTTCCATCCTTATATATTTTTTTATAATATTAAGACTAATATTATTTCTTATTATTAAACAAAAACGAATAATATAATTTAATCAATAATGATCATTAAACAATCATAGAACACAATTGGCTACTATTAATAAATTGAATCCTTATTTAATTTTATATCGCACTTACAACAAAATAAAATAGTAAAACTATTTTACTATTCATCATCTTTCTTTTTTGCAAGTGACGACCACTTAAACTCCAAAGCTTTAGATCGGGTGCGAGATAAACTCGAGGAGTTTAGGGATTACCGGAGACACAAAAAACCACCCAGGATTGAGCAGAAGGCTACTCTAGAAACGTTATTTAACACTCTCCAGACCAAGCTAAGGCTCAATAACAGGCCCGCTTATATACCCAGTGCTGGAAAAACAGTCGTAGTAAGTGTAATATTGAATCCCTTTATAACTACTTATTTCATTTTCTCTTAACCCTGACATTTAGTACGAATTCACGATGAAGTGTATGAATTATTTTTGTAACTCTGAATACAGTGTTAAACAGCAACGTTTAAAAAAAAAATTATTTTAGGAAATATCGAAAGCCTGGAACATACTGGAAACGGCCGAAAAGGGCTTCGAGGAATGGCTGCTGAGCGAACTCATGAGACTGGAAAGATTGAGTCACCTAGTCAAGAAATTCAACCACAAAAGTGCCATCCACGAGGAATGGTGGAAGACAAATCAGCACAGAAGCGGACCCGACTCCATTCCCCTCAAGACACTCAAACTATACGAAATCAAAGTTTTTTTTAAAAAAAATATTCATATTTTTCACTCTTATTTTATCAAAGAATTTTTTCATTTAGTGACACTTTTTTAGGCTCGGTCAAAGGCTGTTTAAGTTTTCGTAATAAGATTTAATTTATCTAACAAAAAACTTAGATAGTACAGTACAGCAGCTTTTGGACATTGAGTTATTTAAATAATTTTTACCCAAAATAAGGCATTAAAAAAGAAACACGAAGCATTCGAAAACGATTTAGCCGTCCACCAGGAAAGGATTGAACAGATCATATCCATAGCTCAAGAATTGAAGTAAATCATTTCCTTCAGCTACTTACTCATTTCTTTTATCCTATAATTAGAAATCGTATTTTTGTTTCGAATGTAATTTTCAATTATGTCTATATACTACTAGATTGGCCATTCATTCATTAAATACATAAAAGTGTTCATACATAGGAGTCGACTGTAGCGCAACCTTGTGGGTTTGCACGTCAGTTAGATGACATTAATATGTATTCATATAAAGATAAATAAAGACAATTAGTCGAAATGCAAACCACAAAATGGTTACAGCTGACTACTATACATGAACACTTTTAGTTAATGAATCTCTAGAAATGTATACACATCATTTATAATATTATCATTATCACCATACATGTTATGTTTAATTGATTTCACAGCGTTATATTATTTATTATTGTATTTGAAGAATAATTTAAAAATATAAAGCTAGACATTTTTAAAAAAAAGAAAGTTCTGAACAACTATAACCAACCCCTTTATTAAATCCCTAAAAAAAGAGGGGAGTCATTTTTAAGAATAAATATGAGTCCCGTTTTGTTTTTTAAATATATCTTAATCGTAATCTAAAAACTGACATTATTTTATTTTTTTAATTGAGACACTTTATTCTTGAGGAATATTTCTATTATCTATATAACCTGAATAATTCTTTAAAATATTTTCTAAGACTGAACCCTCTCCTTTATATCTAATGATTCAGGCCCCATATCATATAACTTAAGGTGTTTGTAAAATTTGTATATTATATATTTTTAATAAAGCTCGTTAAACTATTTCGACACCCCGTCTATCAACTCCAGGTGTCAAGTAATTTGCGATAAATGGGACAGTCTCGGTACAATCACTCAGGATAGGAGGAAAACACTCAATGTATTCCTTTTTTTTACTTTTTCCTTATTTTAAGACATAAATATGCAAAAAAAATTGGATTAGGGGAAGGGAGGAAGGTAGGAGATTCAAACGAAATCTTGTTTTTAACTATGGAATCACTGAGTGACATTTTTTTTAAACATATGTTTATTTAGAAGATCGAAGAATTCCTCGAAAATGTGGACCAACTCTATCTCGAGCTGGCCAAAAAAATGGCCCCGTTCAATAATTGGCTCGACGGTGCTTGCGAAGATTTAGTTGATATGCTATTCGTACATACCGTGGAAGAATTGCAAGTTATTCAAAAAAATACTTGTTCTTAATTTTTTTTTTATAGAATGACCCGAGGTCATTAAATTACATTTAAAAAAGGAGATTTTCATTTAGTGTATAACATTAAGAAGAGTACTTTAAAAAAAAATAATATCGTAATTATTATATTTTAAATAAATTTAACCTTATTTTTAATGATATTTTTAAAAAATCAACTATATTATAAATATTAACTTAAAATAATATTCTTGATATTTTGCAGAACAAACAATTATAGTATTACTATGCCAATATAATTGTAGCAGATTTACAAATCTTTAAAACCTAAATTACTTATAGGGCGCCTTGTGATACCTTTGCCGCAATAAACACTCCTAATTTATATTGATTTTAATATTTCATGGTCAAATTGTTTGAAATTTACAAGGTAACTACCCTATACCTGTTTAAAAACGATTACGGCAAAAAATGATTTAAAATTTGCTAAAAACCTGTGTCTATTAAAGATAACCCCGAATCTATTAAACCCTTCTTTATTTTTGTAGAGCTTGATTGATGCCCACGAGCATTTCAAGAACAACCTATCAGACGCTGGAAAAGAGTGTGCTTCTATAATGCAAATGTGGGAGAATATTTGTCAGTTAACGGGTTCCGATCAATTCATCTCCACCCAAAATCCGTATTCTACCGTTAACCCAAATGTAAGTCCTGCATCTTATTAAAATTATAAATATTTGTTTTTTAAAAAAAATCTAGGATATGATTTGTGAAAGAAATGCAAAATATTTGATACCTAAATTTAGTGCTTATTATGCAAATAAAAATTAGTCTATAAAGGAAAAATGGGAGGAAGTCAAAAGATTGGTGCCTGGTCGAGATAACGTTCTTCAACAAGAACTTCTCAAGCAACAGATGCACCAAAAGCTTAGGATCCAATTCGCCGAGAAGGCCAACAGTGTGGGGCCTTGGTTAGAGCATCAACTCGATTCCGTGACCAATTTAGCGTTGCAAACTCACGTGTAATTATTTCCTTTTATTTGAGAGTTGTATGAGAACATGAAGGGATTGTGTTTTTAAAGATAGATTTGTGAAACTAAAGGTGGGGCCAAAAGGAAAGATGTGAAAATAAAGTTATATTGGTGAGAAAGATGAATGGAAAGAAAAATTTAGTTTGGGGGCTGGTGTATATCAACTGTATGATGCCAGACCAATAATCTTCAGTTTGATTTATTAAATTGATCTACATGCCCGCATCGAAAATGAGCTAGCTAAAAGTCACGAATTAATTATTTATTTCGTCTTTTACTAAGTTTGAGAAAATAGCTAGGTTATTGTTCTATGACCTTGAAACCCATGTCATACACTTTTCTGAATAAATTTTCTTTACTATAGTTACTACATTAGTTTTAATATATTTTATAACTATTCCCGTGAAAAATATTTTCTTCACAGTTCACAAATTTTGGGAAAGGAAAATAAACACTCTTAATATTATTATTTACATCTAATTTAATATTCTATGATCAATACTCATGTTAATTTTATCCATTTCATTTTCAATAATATATATTTGAATTCTTTTCGATCAGATGTCCGTTTATAATACGCGAAATAAAATGATAATTCAAAATATTTAATACTTTTCAAAAAAACGTTAACTACAATAAAAGTAACGCACTGATTTGGATTTTGATCTTTACGGGCTATGAGTAGTGACCATTTACCCGTAATACTTATCTAGATTGGCGATTCTTTTATTAAAATGTATCTTGAAGTGTAATCGATACAAATTAGCGGGTGACAAACCATTTTCGTTTCCCATTTAAGAATCTTTATAAATAAATGAAACTTTTTTTTAAATTTTTTTTTATAAAATTTCAATGTTTATTATTTATATTAGGGAATTCAAAATGGCATTTTTCCAGGTGTTTTTATTGATACACTTTCAAATGAATGAATTGCCAGTCTAACTAGTATTATATATCCTTGGTAGTTAGTAATTTTTACCATTTTGAAATGATTACTTTTTTAGAAATACGTGGTTCCTTTGAATATTTTTTATCCCCATTATTCAATTTAAAATTATTATTAAATTTCTCTTTTTCTGTCCCGCATATGGTTCCCTCCTTCCGTCAAATCAAAATATTTTCAACTGATAACGAATTTTCGCGAATGGGCCTTGTATTCTATGCGATTATCATGACGTTTTTCAAAATAGCAAGTAAATATATTATTCGTATAATATAGAATCAATATAATATTAAATTTGAGCAATTCTATTTTGAAATAAATATCTGTTTTTAATTTATTAAAAGTTCTTTTAAAAAAAACACTATATATCTACTATTCTATCAATCTTATTTTAAAGCTTGATATTTGTAGGCGGAAATACTTTATGCTAACAACCCTTCCCCCTCTCAATTATATAATTTTTTTAAAGTTCGTTGGAAGAGCAATTGACCAAGTTGCACAGTGTTCAACAAGCCTTGCAGCTCTACAAGCCAAACATAGAAGAATTGGAAAAATATAATCAGGTATATTGATAATAAATGAGACGAAGGAAATAAAGAAAAGTGGTATGTTTTAGGTACACAACCTTAAACCAAATTAATGATATAAAATTTTTTTAAATAAAATATTTATACCTTTTATGACTGATTATGGATACTTATCTTTTAATATATACTTAGACACTTTAAAAATTTTCTTTTTATTTATTATACATCAAAAAAAACTACAATTAAAAAATATGAACTTTTCAAACGTCAATTATTGTATATAAAAAAAATAAAAATAATACAATACCTACTTAGTTCGCCAAGGCAGGTCGAAAGTTTTCAGAACGTTCGCTTACTCTCGCATATTTTTTGATGTTGATATGTTTAAATTAAGTTGAGTTCTCTAAATTTTGTAAACATAAGCCTACCACAAAATCGAGACGATAATAGCCGATTTCGCGTGTTTGCACAAACTATTTGCGAAAAAAATCCCTATATTTCGTCTTGTCGGTATCGATTTTTTTTAGAGAAGTGTTTTACGATGTATATGTAATTAGTTTCCATTAGTATCTTTTAACAACTCTGATACCAGCAAGTTCATTTTTATTTCATCAGTCAAGATTATTATTCTAATTAATTTTAAATCAATATAAATAGCATTTCTTCACATGAAGATGATTTAACTCTGCCCGGGCATCAGTATGAAACTTTTTTGACTTTATAAATGATGTGGATTGTGTCCTAATTCAAGTATTTCAAACTTCAGAGAAAAGATCTTGTTAAATACAAACTAAAATTAATTTTTAAATAACCCACATACCAGATTAACTTATGATAAAAATTTTAAAAAAATCGATAAGAATCTGAATGAAGATATTTGTGATAATGATCTAAAAAGTTTTTTTTGTAAATAAAGCTATCATTCTTTAAATATTTTTAATAAACCCAAATTAAATTTTTTCTTTATTAAATATAATACAATTTTCCCATCCTCTGAGCCAGTTAAACGTGTGTTTTACCACGGCGAGAGCTGTTAACCGCTAATCATTCTTGTTTATCTGAACAAAATTTTGAAAATCATCTATTGTTAAAAATATATTAAAAAAATTATTATAAAAAGATCATTTAATATTTTTAACGCCTTTTTTTTGAAGTAACGTTTACAGCACTACTAATACTCTTAAAATATAATAGTTTGAAGACTAAACTTTTGCCTTAGTCTTATTATTTACCTTTACATACCCAATTTCACCAAAATCTAATTAGGTCAGTTTAAACGCTATTGATTTGACATGGTATTACTTATCTTCGAAAGTTGATATGTCTTTTGCATCTGAAATATTAACTAAAATTCTTTGAGTTGAACTAAAAAAGTTATGATCGTAAATGCCGTTTGTGAAATCAACCTATAAAAACGGAATCACAAATGATTTAATGAATTAATATTTATTTTAAAAAAAATATACAATCCATGAAGGAAGTCCAAGAAGCCATGATATTCGAAAATCGTTATACCAGGTACACCATGGAAACTATAAGAGTTGGGTGGGAACAGCTTTTAACGTCCTTGTCTAGGCATATCAACGAAGTCGAAAATCAGGTTATTACTAAATTTAGAATATTGTTAGCGATTATTGGAGGATGCTGGGAAAAAACGCTGATCATTAAACCAGCTCTCATCCCCCACCCCTCCCCATTTTACTTATATATATTTCATTTCATGATAAATCTACCAAAAAATGGATATATTTGACCACCATCTTGGAAAATATTATGAAGTCTCGGGGTTATAAATTTCACCCAATCAAAATTTTACTCTAGCTTACTTCGATCCGAAATTATTGGCATACAAATTCCAGGTCAGGCAAGGTCTTCATAACTAGTCTCAAATTAATCAAAAAAATATTGTTGGGAGCCCCTACAAATTTTTAAAAATTATTTTCACTGTTAAAGTACTTCCATTAAAACTAAATTTTTTTTATTTTGAGAAAACTACATTTTTTAATGCTAAAACTCACTCAGGCTTATTATAAACTTTTATATCAAAAAAAAAATGAAGAAGATACTTTTTTAAATTTAAACTTTTGGAATTAGGAAATTATTATATATAGGCGCTACAAGTTTTAATTTTATTTTTTGCAATTAAAACTTTTATATAAGCAGGATCGCAGCCGAACATATTTAGATTGATAATTTGAAATATAAATAAATAATTTGGTTTTTTTTAAAAAAATAAGTGATATCAATATTAGAAAAAATATCATTATACAATGGTCACAATATTACACCATAAAATTAATCAATAATAATATTTTTTGAAATGAAAATATTGTTATCCATTCCCTGGGGAGACATCTTGTTTCCTCCACTTCCAACCAACAGCATTACCAATCATCCTTTGCCTTACATTCAACATGTCCAAACCATATCCGTCTATTTATTCTCTAGACATCACCTATTTTTTTTATCCAAATCTTTCTCAATTCCTGGCTTATTTTTTTTTCTCTTAGAAATTCTCTACATATCCATTGTTGTTAGTTACTATTTGTGTTATTTTACTCATTTATTTTGTTTGGGTTGTCTCCCCCACATTTGATTATTACATATATCAGAGAAATGTAGAAGTACTAATTGCACGACTCAGCCCGGGTTTGTAAAAAATATTCGAATGTACCTGTTCGCCATTTTACGGTTCGATTTAAATAATAAGGAAATTTGGATTTTGGCGAAGTGTCTATTATTTTGTAATGTTTTATTTACCAAAAATAATAATTATCTCCAAATTAGTAACCATTTTATTTACCTATATTAGGACAAATTGAAATGATTTCGTTATATTCTTATCATTTATAAAAATTATTTGTAATATTAGTGGGATTTGATTAAATTAAATTAATTTTTCCCAATATACAAGCTTTTTCAATATGGAACTATAATTGAACAGAAAACAAAAAGGAACTAGATAAATATAACAAAAACATATTTTACTAATTCTTTCCCACAGATTTTAACCAGGGATTCTAAAGGAATAAGCCAAGAACAGCTCAACGAATTCAGAATGTCTTTTGTTCACTTCGATAAAAACAAAAACGGCATGTTGGATCCAAAAGATTTTAAATCTTGCCTCATCTCCCTAGGCTACAATATCCGGGAGGATAAACAAGTAATAGTTATTTTAACTGGTTCAGACCGCACCATCCATAAAATAGTAGCTGCATTCAGATTGATTATTTACCAATTTTTTGGAAAGTTTTTCGGGCAGTCTTAATCCTGTTGACCCTCTCATTTTATTTTTTTAAGATTACTTACATGCAACTCTATGGGTTTTTAATAACAATTTGTTTCAGGGAAAAATAAATGTAAAATATTTATTAACTCATTAATGGTGGTTACTAGAGGTGGGCGCGGGCCTTATTTTTTATTCACGGCCCACTAGCTCATGGTTGTAATAAATAAATTCACGCTTTACACTAAAAAAAATTACGACCCGACGAATGGAAATATTTTGATTCACGGTGTTTTTAAATTTTCCCTACTTTGCTATAATTTACACTTTTTTGAATTTATTTCTCTAATTCTATCATCCATATTAATAACCAAAAATAAATAGAATTTATAAATTGACATTTTTATTTATAAAAAGTAGAATGTGCATGTTTTTTTTTATTTCAATTGTATACGCCTTTCCTCTAATAAGCGATTGACCACAGAGAATAACCTTTCACTAAAAGTCGAACTTGCCAGGGTTGTCAAAATTTTGCTCGTTAATTTTCTCAAAAAAAGGAAATGAATTTTCCTGCTTCCAAAACTTCAAAATATTTTCTTTATTTGTCTTATGAGCGATGAATCTTTTAAGTTCATCCTCACAGCTTTCGTCGATAGATGTTGTGCTTCATTAGAATCATCTAGAAATTCTCTAAATGTTTCATTTAGAATATACGGTTTTTTATGAATATGATGAATTAGGAAAGTTATAAATGATAATTGGCATTGTCTTATGCATATCTTCTAATTTTATATTATTTAACATTTTTAAGGTTGTTTAATATATATATCTTCCTTTTCTTCTATTAAAAATTTAAGGCTTTTAAAATTTGGATCTAGAATTAAGCCTATCATCTTATATAGTGGCTGCAATAAATCTTTCTTTTTAAGAGGAATCTTATCCTGTTTATTAAGGTTTTGATTATTGTATCACTCTCAAAAGGTTGATAAAATTTTAATATTACAAATTCTACCCCTTCACTACTCATACATAACATAAAAAAGCATATATTATAATTTATGATTTAATGTGAAGAATTACATTTTCATAGTAAAATAATATATATAATAAACTTGAAAGAAGATCATTATTCACATGTAAATAAGCTTGAGAAATTTGATTTGAACATATAAATTTTTACAAGATTTAGTAAAATGTTTCGTAACATAACACCTAAACATAAGAAAAGTAGAACTAGCGGTATATCCAGCGTCTACATGAGTTGGAGGGGTAGGGACAGTTAGCATCCTATTTTTGAGGGGGCTAGGCTGCTTTAATGGGGGTGGGATAAATTTTTTTGGGGGTTATCTATTATATATTGAGATGAAATAGCACAAAATTTATTGCTGTAATAGAATTATTATAATACAATTCATCGACCGAATCTATATATTGCACACAATCATACACATTGTTTTCCAAATAAAACTTTCTGCTATTTTAAATGTAATTTAAAAGGTTTAGATATTTCAACAAGCTCATTATGCCATAAGAATTAATTCATTGTAAATAATGGAGGTTTTAATTGAATTTATTATCTAAAAAATAAATTCTTTATTATCTAAAAAATAAATTCTTTATATTCACAAAATATCGATAGTTGGTAGTAGAGATAGATTAATTTAGGTTATAAATTCTCTGAAAAAAAAGGCGAAAATAATAATAGGGAGACACCACGCTGAAAGCGGCGGTAATTTTTTAGGGGGTGAGCAAATGTTTTTGAAGGGGGTTTGCATCCAATGTAAATCCTGTCATGTAGACGATGGGTATATCGTTGTTTATAAAATGTGGAAGATTTTTTGTTTTCAAAAATTATTCATTTTTAAAAAATAACTAAATTAAATTAGAAAATATATATTATATTTATAAATATATGTTCACGCCCGAGAATAATTTTGGGAAGGCCCATCACGTCCAGTCAGGTTTAATAATTTAAAATTTATTCACACTCACACCGTGATATGATGGGTCATGCATAGTTTCGTGGCCTGCTTCCACCTCTAGTAACTACTATTTATTGCATATAAAAAATTATAACTAACCCTGAATATATCAGACCGATATCTCATGTCTTAAGTTATTAACCTCCAAAAATTGAGAAAAATTTAGGTTATTTTTGAGAAGAATTGGGGGACGATAATATGATTTTTTTAAACATAATTTAATAAAGCTCTTTATAATCTATCTAAATATAATCATTAAAAACATAGTCATAAATATGTAATATTTTAGTTGAAAATCAATGTACTAATTTTTTTTTTATAGTTAATATCTATTTATTTATATTTTTAAATTTACATAAAACCTATTTAAAAAAATTATAATTTATAATTATATAATTAAAATTGTTACTTTAACCATTGTTGAGTTAAAGGGAAAAATAAATAGTAAAAAAACACTTATATAAATTTATAAAACACAAAATATGAAACAATAATTTAAGAAAATAATGATTAGCAGAATTTGGAAAAAAAATTGAATCTTTGAAGTGATCAAATTTTACCTTAATTGCATAAAAAAGATTTTCAATTTAAATTAATCACATTTCTTTCACCTTATAAAATTTTTGTTTTTATAAGAAAAATCAGATTATCTTACATTTATTTTGATCAATGAATATTGTAACGTGCCTACTCCCCAGTTATTATTTAAATATATTTTAATAACATTATATATAGGGTGATCTGGAGTTTAAACGTATAATGGGTGTGGTTGACCCGAATGGAACAGGTCACGTAAGTTTCGAGTCATTTCTAGACTTTATGACGAGGGAAAATACTGATACAGATACATCGGATCAAATAATAGCCTCGTTTAAAACGCTTGCCGGGGATAAAGTTTTTTTTAAAGAATATTTTGGGAGTATGTCCGCGATAACTGGATTGGTTTTAATTTGAAGTCTTTCATTTAATCTAAGATATAAAAATTAGTAAAATGATTACTAAAAATTTTCAAATGATTAAATATATAATCAGTCACATTTTTGCCAAACAAAACACTTTCAGAATTTATATTAAATTTTAACAAAAAATTACATATTTAAATGGAATTTTCCAAATATTTTATTTTGTACTTTTAGCCTTATATAACTTCCGACGATTTAAAACGTGAACTACCACCCGATTACGCCGAATACTGTCTTAAGCGAATGAGCACCTACAAAGGCCCCATGCCCAATCTATCTTCGGCTAACACTGCCAATCACAACAAAGGAACTCTTTTGTATGATTATCATTCCTTTTCAGCGTCCCTGTATGGAGAGACCGATTTATAAATTTGAATCTCGAAAAACGAAAATAACGGGTATATCTCCCATTTGTTTGATAATAAAATTGTCATTTAATATTAGGTAGTTTTTAATAAATCTTTAATTGTTACAATAGTTGAGTGTAAAAAAATAGGTAATTTAATTTTTCCAACTTGAAGGAAAGAGAATCACTTTCCTGACTGGGCCCTATCCGAAAATATTTTTTAAAAGAAAATTCTCTATCCAACATGTTATAAATAATATTCTTAAAATCAACAATCCACCTGGAAAAAAATCTTTGACCCTAAATAAAAATTAATTACAATAACTCGGCCCAATTCATGAGTCAGGTTTTGCAGACCTCTGCTCCGAATATGGATTTTAAAATTTAAATCATGCTTTAGTTAAATTTTTTCCCAAATTCCAAAAGGATCGATTTGACATAAAAGTATCTAGAGGTGACTCTATTAAGTTTAAAAAAGAAATCATTACTTAGATTTAATATTTTTTATAAATTGGAAGATTACGATAATTTACGGTAAAGAGCCTTACGTGTGTAAGATTCTTAATTTCGTCTTATAATTTTATTTCTCAAGTATCCTTTGAACCTGAAAGGCAGGCAATGCACTCTGTCGATATTCAACACTCACTTTATCACGGCTGAATTATAGAATAATTCATACTTACACATATATACTTATAATATAATACTTAATGTTAGGTATCTAAACAAAAATCTTTTTTTTATTTTGTAAAATAAATTAATTTTACAAATATTTGATTATTTGTCCCTTGGAAATTCCTATTTGAAGCTAGCTTTGTTTGGGGTTTTTTTTTATTTTAAATTTTCGTTCATCCTTCAGCAAAAAAAAAATCAAATCAAATTTTTCTTTTATAAAAATTATTTTTTATCCAGATGAGAATCGAATCTTTACTAAGTTTAGGATTCATTTAAATCTACAAGAAATTTTTTTTAAATTATATTACGATGACAGTATTGATAAACTATTTTTGCCAATCCCAAAGCGTTTTCCCAGATCCATAATATCTGAAAAAAAAAATATATATTATATAACTTTGACCGAATTTAGAGGGAAAAAAAATTCATTTGATTTGAATTCAATCTTTTTTGACAAATATTTATTATAAAATGTATTTTATATATATATAATTGACATCGCTTTTCGATCATTTATTTATTAATAATTTTAAAAAATTGTTTTTTTTTAAAAAAAATATTATGTTTTGATATATTATATTATTTTTACGTTTCATAATTCAAAAATATATAAATCTCATAAATAAATAATGATTTACAAGTGACTCAAAACAAGAGCAGCATCATTTTTTCAAAAAAATAGTTTGCATATACCGTAATTTTTATAATAATTTAAGAAAACATTAAATTGATTGAAAAAAAATACTATACCATAATACATGGAAAATAATTTTAAGACCTAAAACTAAACTATAAATTATAATATCTTTTTTTTGAAATTTAAATATTCATATAATATGGATGCCTTTGATATAATATATAGGTGTTTGATTGAAGGGATGTTTTAAAAAATAATTAAGGTTGAGAGATTATATAAATTAATATATATATACCAGGAAGTTTCTTTGAGCATGTTTAAAAAACCTTTAAATTAAGGGCTAAAATTTTTTGGTCATCAAACCTATTAGTATGGCGGTGGCAGTGATAAAGGCTCCTGTAATCAACTTTCTTTTATCTTTGTTAAATAAATGATAATAAATATAATATTAGGGATAAAATAATATATTTAATCATAAAATTAGATCAAGCAAAATATTAACAAAGAGAGGTTAAGTTAAATAAGAAATTGTACAATAAATTACAATTATGATGATAAGGTAGATTTTTGGATATCAATTACCAGAACAAAATAAAATTTTTCAAATTAAGAGATTTAACAACAAAAAATTATCCTAAATTCCAAAAAACAGAAATTCTTCTTCATTGTAGAGTCCAGGACCCATAATATTTTTGTAACGGTCCAGTTGAAAAAAAAATTAAATTTTCTAGTTCCAAGTGGTCCTAATTTTTTCCAGAATGGTAATCAGTCCGCTTCATATAACCAAAAATTGACTTCGATACACAGTATAATAGAGTGTAAGACAAGTTTAATAAAATAATAAATATCTTCATAATATTAATGTGTTAGAATAAAAAAACTTATTTTTATAAAACGTTTTCTGGTGTTGGAAAATGAAATATAAATGTGCAAGAAAGTAAAATCCATGTGCACTAGGCAGCGTTACATGAGCGGGGGGGGGGGGGGATAGGAACTTGCACACAAATATTTTAAAGAGAGGTAATTGGGAAATATGGTATAATTATTTAGTGGTATCTATTAAATTTTTGAATGATTTATGGATAATATATTGCTATTTATAATTTAATTATAGATCTATTATAATATAAATAGATCGCTAAATATCGACCAATATTATATATGTAGTCATTATTTTTCTAATAAAATTTATTTCTGTTTAAATGTAATTTAAAAGGGTTAGACATTATATTAACTAATTCATATTCATGCCGAACATAATACTGAATTCATTGTAAATGAAGAGATTTTTAATTTAATTCATATTCCAAAAATAACTGATACATTCGCAAATTTTTGATAGTTGGTTAGAGTATTGGTCATTTAATAGAAATGTGTAATTAATGATGGTGCCGGGAATTTTTTTAGGGGGGTAGGGATATGTTGTTGAAGGGGATTGCTTCCAATGAATAGTCTTAAAGACGCTGGTACTATGGTTGGAAGCATTTTCTTTATTTAAATGGCGATTTTAATCAAATACTAGTATTTTAATTAGAGAAATTTTTTTTTCCTCAGTATAATATAAAATTATTTTGCAAGTAAAGGGTTAATGCTACAGGAGATTCAAAAAATTCTTAGAAAAAACATATAGATAAGACATGAGCTAATTGAATTTTTAGTCATACAAAAATATATTTAATTTTTTTTAATACATCTAACTGGTCGATATCAGTTATTTGGAAAGGAGAATATATTCCAAACTATTGTTAAAATCCTTGATCCTAATAAAACTGTTAAATTTTATTTTATGATTAATAAAAAGTGTCGGACTTATTAATTTTAATTTAAGCTATTGTTATTTCAAATCGGGGTTTCCTGATGGATTAGCCCAATTTAAGATGCTAAATATTTGTTAATTCATTAATACCCTTAATTTTTAAAATTAGACTATGATTTTTCTGCCAATTGTTTAGTGTGTTCAAAAAATCAAGCATTCTTAGAAACTTCCTTTCCCTTAAATCAATTGTTTATAACAAAATTAAATTAATAAGCCAATCATTTTTAAAATGTTTATCAATATTAAAAGAATAACATTATAGCTAAATAAGTTTATTATAATACTTTCATTGATGCATTTCTTATCCTATCTTCTCAATAACTTTAAAATTTTATTTTTTCAATTAATTTATATAATTTTTGTAAGATATAATCAAAATTTAATTCAATTATAATTTAAAATTCATTAAGTAAAATCATTTTGTCGATTTAAAAAAGGTTAAGTTACATCAGATTCTTAAAAATTCATTTATATATATATATACCTTAGAAAATGATGACTAAATAATAAATTTTATCAATTAATAAAATCTTTCTACATCAATATCTTAATAATAAAATCCTCATTCCTATGATAATATCTTCCTTCTTAACTACTTCCTTAAGAATGTCTAAAATTTAAAACTAAATTAAGTATCAGACCTTAAGTCGGTTAAAAACAGTTTATACATTTAATAAAAAATTGTGCACTTAACTTAAAACAATTTAAACTTTTATAAACACTAAGCCCAAAATATGTTTTAATTTTAACAGACAATGAGATCAAATGGCAATGAATGTAACTTTATAACTTAGCATCATAAAAAAATATTTATCTCTTATCTATCTTTGCTAAAATATCAAGCTGCATCTGACCCATTTAATATATTATATCTTCAGGTGAAATAATAAAGTTTAAAAATGAATGGTGGTTATAGGAACCATTTAATTTTTTAGCTTAATTAGAAAGAGCATTCTTACCATTGTGCATTCCATTTAGGAAAACTATTTAAACAATTAAATCTAAATACAAATTTTAAGGACTTGGATAATGCTTTGTCAATCTATTATCATTGAAATGTAATTTTAATTTCTAATTACACACAATATATTTTTTTTTAAATGTAAAATATTTTATTTCTTTATCAACCTCTCCCCTTATCTCCAAATATTAAAATGAAAACTTAGTTCAAATTATATACTTTTTTTGTGTTGATTTGTTAGAGATGATTCAATGGTATTTGATATAAGCATACAGTTTTCTTTTGTAATATGACTAAATTGAGGTGAATGCATAATTAATTGATCGGCATAATATTGTGCTTTTTCATAATTCTATCATTTTGATTTACAACATGTATTAAAATCTTAATAAATTAATACCTTAATTTTGAAAAATGTTATAGCCAAAACATAAGATAATTCCTGTGATCGTGTAACATGAGTGCTATATAAAATATAGAGCTCTAAACAAAAAAGGTATCAATGATTTAATAATATAATTACCCTCTAATAGAAGAGATGCATTGATTATATCCTCTTTGTTTAACAAGTACAATGAATATTCAAATTGACTCCTAAACGAAGGTTGTCCAATCCTAAGTTGATCATTAAAGTTTTTTCTAGCCTTAACAAATATATGAAATATTGATTGTAGAATTATATTAAACTTCATCAAGGTTGATCTCAGGTAAGTAAATATCTAAATTACAATTCATTTATCTTATCTTATCTAGCACGTTGATCATAGACCTGCACAAAATGAGCGAACCTGAATTATACTAAGGCTTACTTCATATAATTATGCCGATTTTTTTCGCAAGGATACCAACAAACCTTGTACCTAGATGAAACTAAATAAGTAAGTGGAACTAACCCAATACCGTTTTAGTAGATAATTTGATTTAGTAGGGAGAAAAAAGTTAAGAATATTGAATAAGAGTAATAGAAGTAGAAATAGAATTACTGTTTAAAGATTCCAAATACAACTATCTTATATTAAAAAAATTAAGGGGATACTTTATCATTTTACAGGTATCCAATTGAATATCATGATGTTTAAATTTTATTTGTTACTATAAGATATAAAAGGTTAATCAGTAAGTAGTTATTACGGATAACTACATTTGAAATTTTTTTTATCTAATATAGATAAGTTAAAATCATACGATAAAATAGTATTTTATAATTGTTGTAAATAATGATAATTAATTTTTTAAATAATTTTTTTTTAAATATTATTTTTTTGTAGAAAAATCATTATTAATATTATTGTTTTTAATTATAAAAAAAAAGTTTTCCGTTTTTAGATTATTATATTTTTTTTGTGAGATAAAAATATAAATTATTTGTGTAATTAGTTGTGTCCAATTCTAGCAAAAGTTGCAACAATCAATTCCTAAATACAAAAGTTGCAACAATTTTAGTTATGTCCAATTCTAGCAAAAGTTGCTACAATCAATTTCTAAATATAAAAGTTATAACAATAATTACATATAAAAATATCTAGAAATAGGTATGAAACTTATAAATAAAACACCTAGTATTTTGAAATACCTTATGAATAATTAGGAATTATAAATTCTTATAAAAAACATTATGTGACCTTCGTTAAAAGTCCTCCTTTTCCAGAATAATAACTCACTGTCTTAATAATTAAAAAATAACTTAGAAGTGAATATTATTTATTGAATTCTTTACCATTCTTAGCAGTTATTTGTCATATGCTCTTAAATAAGCCTCAGAACATAGGTGTAGCCAGGATTTTCATAAGGGGGGGGGGTGAAATAAAAAATTACTGGGGGTTCGCCCCCAGACCTTCTTTTGGGTGGGCCTTCGGCCATCTTTTTCCCGGCCTTCGGCCGGGTTACTTTAATCTATATATAGTCATAAAATATTTTTACAAATTTTAATAAAAAAAATGAGCCTGGAACAAATATGAAATATATTTTTATTAGTTTATATAAAATATAATCGATTACTTATATATACATTAATATAAAAGGATGGTAATAATTTATTCCAAACAATTATAAGAAATTTATTTATAAAAAGTAAGTAGACATATAGTTGATTTTACTCTATTATATAGAATTAGTTATAAAATACTAGGTAAAATTCCACTTTTACAGACATATTTGACAGTTAGAGAATATATTACAGTTAATAATTTAACAAATTTTACTAATCAATGCTCTTGATATTAAATATAGCAACAATTTGCATTCAATTATTTAACGCCATCTATTTATTTTAAGTAAAAATGATATTTAAATTTAATCTTCATATTATTTATCCCACAATGTCTTTAAAAGATATTTTCTGATGTCCTTATCAATATTTTATAGTTTTCTGTAAAATATATAATTCGCTATATTGGTAAAAATTACTTGATTGTCATTTGATAATTAGATATACTGTAAATCTTCAACATATAATATTCGATTCCACTGTTTGTATTGTGCTTTAATATTTTTTTAATTTATGATTTAATTTTATCAATAGTTTTATAATTATATTTTACTTTTATTAAGAAAAATAAATTAAAATTACTCACTTTATAAAAAATTATATTTGATATATTATATTATTTAGTAATTTTATGGATAGACTTATCTTTGGCTTATATTCCATTTATTAAAAGACATTTTTGGTTCATTTTATATATTTATAAATATATTTTCTCAAAAATCTATAAAATATGATGAATAGTTTTATAAAAAAATATCAACTTTTACATTCTTTCTTTTAAATTATTATTTAAGATATATGCATATATTTTTGAGGGTGAGTGGGGGGAGGACTAAGGGGAATATCTTTTATTAGCTAAAAAAGATATTTACAAAAAGTGATAAATTTCTGAAAGCAAGGAGGAATTTCCCCTTGCCCCCCCCCCCCCTGGCTACGCTTATGCCTCAGAATGTATATGAAAATTTTCCTATCTGACGAAGCTCTCTTTAAAAATTCCCAGGATAAATCTAACTCCTAAAGGAACTTGTAAATCTGCCGGACCAACTATTTATAAGATAAGACGGGCTTAAGAGCATTCTCTCCTCCGAGAATATGTTTACAAGTGCTTGATGGATTAGGGTATTACAAAAATGTCTTAAAATATGACCAACCACTTCAATTTTCTCAATCATTTTATGTAGAGGAAGTATATCACATCTAGCCCATAAGGTATAATTAGTTGTATTCAGTGGGTAAAATGTTCTGGTTATGTATCTGAGGCATTTATTTATGAGCGTTTTTCTATTATCTAATGGAATCCTTCCAAGTTTTCTGCCATAATAATTAGGATGCCATTATTAGAACTATAAATAATCTTATCTTCAGGGGAATTGATAATTGTTGTGATGACCAAATTTTCATGAAGGATCTGTACTTTGTCTTAAATTTATTTAGCTTAGCCATATGATCTTGCAGGGTTGAGTAAAATGCTTTCTTGAAATTAAGGGCAAAGATTATTAAGTTTCTTCTCCGTATAACCGATCTTTCTAAATAAATTTTGAGTGCTAGAATTGCCTCGAGTGCATTACGATCCTTCCTAAACAAAACCAATAATCAAAGAAATGCGATTCCATTATCGGCCATAACCTATTCAAGGTAACATTCGCCAAAATCTTATATACTACTGAATTTCGCGAGATTCCCCTCCAGTCTTTAAGAAATTTTGGTTCTTTATTTTAGGGAAATTGACCTAGAGAGCTGTGATCCAATAACAAGTCCCTTCATTCCATACTCTAGTTATGATTGGGAGGAAAATCTCGGCGCATAACATGGGATCAGTCTTCAAGTATTCACTGTATAATGAATCTTGACCACTAACATTTTTTTTTAACATAACTATTTCACTTTTCGTTGGCTGGGGAAGCCTAACATCATTTGAACTTTGTGCCGTAGATAATTGTTGTACGTATTGCGTAGATAGGGACGGTGTAGTATATGGAGGATGGGAGTATGACACTGAATGGGGCTGATTCCAGCAGGAGGGAGTAGATATGAATGTATGGGTAATTTAAAAGTCAATAACTCTGTGGTATGGATATTTATCATAATGAGGAGAAAGGATAACGTTATTACTGGAATATTGGGGAAGGCCAAACCTTCGAGATAGTGGGGCGTTGATCTAACAGAGGAGAATAATGCGAAAACTGAGTCGGGACATCATAATTATAGGTATAAGTTGATATTGGGCCATAGCTATGAGCTAGAGAAACGTTGATCGTACTGAGAGGAAAAGTTCGCTGATTTTTAACAACGTTATTACTGGAATTTGTTGACAATGGAGAAAACCAAATCTTCAAGGTCGTGAGATATTGATCATGCTGGAAGAATAATGAGAAAACTGAGTTGAGTCACCATAATTATAGGTATTAATTGAAATTTGGGGTCTAAACTCTGAGATAGTGTTACGTTGATTATACTGGGAGGAAAAGCGCGAACACTGAATTTTAAAATGTGTCAATCTAAAAGTCATATGGTCTAACTAGCGTATGTTCCATATAAATTGTATTTTTAATTTATAAATAATTTATCAAGATTAGCAATGGTCCATAATAAAAGTATTAACTTCCATATCAAGCAAAACAATTTAAAATAATTTAAACATGAATCCGCGTCTAAATGGTGGGGTGGGTGCGGGAGTATGTACAGTTTGCTCCAATTTTTTAAGGGGAGTATGAATCAGGCATTTAAGGAGGGTAGGTTAATAGGTATGCTCGAAGTCGAAGTAGTATAAATTTATTGGGACGTTGTCTATTAAACTTTCAGGTAAAATAGTGCAAAATATATTGCTATATTTTTAATACTTTTATTATACACCTATTATAATTATGATATTGCTAAGCATCGATCAAATTTATATATCACATACATGCATAGTCATTATTTTTCAAATAAACTTATTTCTGGAAAATATTCTGCTATCCTTTTATTTGTAACTTAAAATAGTTAGACATTCTATCAGCAAACTCATATTTATATTAAACAATCTAAATAATAACTCTTTTACATTCAATATTTTTATATATAGTTAGTAACAGAGTATCGACAATTTGAAAATATATGAACGGAGTATCATTACAACTAAAATTGTACATCACATTAGCAAAATATTTTAAAGGGGTTGTCTACATGAGCGGGGTGGGTAGGAACAGTTTGCATCCAATTTTTCTTGAGGGTGGTAGTGGGTAGACGCCTTTAATGAGGGTAGGAAAATATTTTTGGGGGGGTTATCTATTAAATTTCGAGCTGAAATAGGACAAAATATATTGCCGTAAAAATTAATAATTTCAATGATATTTCTGATCATCGACCAAATCTATATATTGCAAACAATCATAGACATTATTTTCTAAATAAAACTTTCTGCTACATTTAAAAATCTTAGACATTCTCAGCAAGCTCATAATGCTATAATAATGCATTCATTGTAAATGATGGGATTTTTAGTTGAATTTATTATCTAAAAAACTCCTTTATATTCACAAAGTTTTGATAGTTGGTACTGGTAGTAGAGATAAAATATTTTAAGTTATTTTTAAAATTTCTGAAAAGAGTATCATTATAATTAAAAAGGTGAAATTAATAATGGGGAAACGGTGGCGAAATTTTTTTAAGGGGGTAGGCATAGGTTTTTGAGGGGTGTTTGCATCCAATACAAATATTGTAACTCTGGGGTTGGTATAGGCTTTTGAGGGGAATTTGCTTCCAGTGAATATCTTGTCACGTAGAGCTGACATGAATAAATAAAAAAAAATAGATTTTATGATATAATAATTTTTTATATTAAATCATATTTCAAGCTGCTTATTTGCGAATTTATTTTATATGACAAAGTAAATTATTTAATCAATTTATTTAAGCTTATAAAAATTGGATCGTTTTAAAGAGCAACCCTAATTCTTCCCACAGCTCTGCATGAGGAATTATTTGGACATATTTTATAGCTTCAAGAATAAGATATTATTCAAAGTTTATTTTAAAAATCAACCAATAAAGCTGATTAATAATATATTGCAATGACAAGCCTCCAATTTTCTACTATGGAAGTAATCATTTTTTAAAAGTAATATCATATAAAATATTAAGATATATTAAGTAGCGGTTTGTTTTTGATTAAAATATCTAGGTACTATTCTTAATTTTAATTTTTTAGGTATTATTTTTGTTTAAAATTAAGGATAAAATTAGGATGAATTTGCATAATTTAAAAAAATTCTAAAATTTTTTATCAATTCGATATATTAAAAATTTAAATATTTAATTTATATTCTTTTTCTTCTTAAATACATTTTCCAATTCGGTGTCTAGCTTGTGTAAATCAAAAAACCTTTTCTAAAGTCTCAATATGCAATTAGACTATTAAAAAATTAGAAATCTGAAAGAAATATATATTTTTTTCTTATAAATATTGTTAGCTTTGCTTCCCAATAATTTATTTACTGATAAAAATTTAACGTAGTAAAAAATTGTTTGCCAAGCATTCCTAGACACAATTTCTTATTTATTCTATAAATTACTCTATGGATTATAATCCTATGATTGAAAAAAACAAGATCTTTTGATTGCAATATACTTACAGAGATTATCTCCTGCCCTTTCTAAGCCCAGTCTACTAGACCAATTATGCTATAATCAAGAAAAACTTTGATTCGTTTTATTTATAATATGTAGAGCCATTTATTATTTTAATGACTTCCAGAAAAATTAATGATTATTTTATAAAAAATAACTTTTGTAACTATCGCATCGCAAGTTCCGAATAATGATAACGAAACACTAAACTTTTTTTTATATTTCATTCTAAAGTATCAAAAACCGTTGCTCTTATAGAGTAACGTGTCTAAACCCTGTTGAGATGTATGACAAGTATGCTTATAAGTATGCATAATAGATAAGACAAAAGATCAATGTTATAATATTTGTTCATAGTTATAAATATTCATTTTTCAAGAAAAAATTGAATTATTTAAAATTTAAAAATATTCGTTTTTAATCATCATGTTTAATTTGATTGAAATTTTCTTATTCTTTTTTGATTGTTGATATTATTATTATCGTATTTACAAAATCATTATTTTAAATTTTTAAATTATGATAGAATATACATCAACATTGAAATTCAAGCATTATTTCCCTACAAAATCTATCTTAAGAAACCGTGATAGGAATGATGATTTGGACTATAGTAATGATAACAGTTCATATAGTAACGATTCAGTAGAAAATAACACATATGATAATAAAACAATAAAATTTGCACTCAACAACAACAGAGTGCGATTTTTCGATAAAAACAAATCTTCATCCAATATTTTAAAATGCAAGTCAGATTCTGAAATCTGCAAAATTGTTTCTCCAAAATTGCTGAGAACTTCTATTTTAATAGGATATCCAGCAATCTCAACATACCAAGATCAGATTAGATGGAGGAAAAGTAGGAAATTAAGACAATTGATAAATATCAAGAGGATTCGCCCACTTCCTACCAAGAGGAAATAGTTTGATCCTGAGACACTACCACTCTTCCATCCACAAGACAGTCACGTATCTGGAAAAGAATCAAAAAATTATTTGCGCTAATATGTTGCTGTTGCCCTAATCCCCAGGATTGAGACGAACTTCACTGTATATTTTCTATTATTATTATATATATTATGGTTGCTAGGGGAGCTTTAGGCTCATGTTCGTAGGTAGACGGTAGGGTTGAAGTTTGGGAGAAGTTGGGTGTTGTGTTAGTATTAATGTTTTATAATAAGGGGAATAGGGTTGGGGTGGTGTCTTGGTGAGATTATATTCATATTGTTTTGGCTTAGAATAGGGGGTAAGTTTGGGGTGAGGTTTAAATTTAAATATTTTAAAATCAGATTTTCTATTCTGTTCTGTTTTATTCCTTTTAGTTTCCTATTTACTTTTCTCTTTCCTTTTTACTTTTCTCCTTTATTTTTACTTTTCCCTTTTCTATTTACTTTCACTAATTTCTTCTTTTTTTTTACTTTTCTCTATTTCTATTCACTATTTTTGCTCGTTTACTTTTCTTTATTTTTATCCTTCCTTTCACTTTAGTATTGTTTTTATTTTTGTTTGGTTATTTTTGATTAATTTTATTATTTTTGGATGTCTCTTATTTTATTTTGTTTTTGATTATCTTTTTCTTATTTTTCTTTCTCTGTTTTTATTTAATATTTGTGTCGTTAAACAGCTCGTTTTGAGCCGATTTTTAAAAAGGGCTAACTCACTTTTTTATCCAGAAAAATATTACGCAAGCCTGAAAATTTTTCTCATAGAAAGAGCAAAGGTCTAGACATATAGTATCGAAATTTCGAGGCTTAGTCAATATTTTTCTGGAGAAAATATTGAGTGCAAAAATATTGAGTGCCGTTTTTAAAAATCGGCTCAAAACGAGCCGTTTAACAAGATTAATATTTGTTTTGTTTTTTATAATGTTTTTCTTATTTTTATTTTGTTTAGTTTTTGAATAATGTTTTTGATTATATTTTTGATAATGTTATTAAATTTCTTTTGGTTTTTGATTTTATTTTTATATGTTTATATATTTGGTTTTGTATTTCTATGTTTTATTTTTTTTTAACCTTTTTTTTGTTTTTAATGATATTCTTGTTTTATTTTTTTGTTTTTTTAAATTTTGTTTCATATTTTTGATTTGTTTTGCTCCTCATTTGTTTTCTTGTTTTTATTTAATTTTTATATTATTTTTGTTTTTATTTTTGATTTATTTTGTGTGTTTTTTTTTGTTTTTATTTTTCTATTTGTTTTTTATTTTGATTTATTTTTGCTTGATTTTTCTTTTGATTTTTTTTATTATTTATTATTATGTTTTGTTTTTAATTTAATTTTTTATGTTTTTGTTATGATAGCTAAATTTTTTATTTTTTAGGCGGTTTTAATTAAAAAAATAAAAATTATATAAAAATACGAACAGATATAAAATTAAAAATAATTTAAAAAGCTGTATATTGACACCATAAACACCAATAGTTTATTTTTTTATTATAAGTTTGCCCATATTATTACAATTAAAAAAATAAAGTACAAATACTAACAAATATAAAATTTAAAATATATTTAAAATGCTGTATATTGACACCATAAACACCAATTAGTTTATTTTTTATTATAAGTTTGCCCATATTATTACAATTAAAAAAATAAAAATTATATAAAAATACAAACAAAAAATATAAAATTAAAAATATATTTAAAAAGCTGTATTGACATCCATAAACAACAATTTGTTTTTTTTTATTATAAGTTTGCCCATATTATTACAATTAAAAAAATATAAAATTAAAAATATATTTAAAAAGCTGTATTGACATCATAAACAACAATTTGTTTTTTTTTCTATTATAAGTTTGCCCATATTATTACAATTAAAAAAATAAAAATTAAATACAAATACGAACAAAAAATATAAAATTAAAAATATATTTAAAAAGATGTATTGACACCATAAACACCAATTTGTTTTTTTTTCTATTATAAGTTTGCCCATATTATTTCAATTAAAAAAAAAATTAAATACAAATACGAACAAAAAATATAAAATTAAAAATATATATATAAAAGCTGTATATTGACACCTTAAATTACCAATTAGTATTTTTTTTCTATTATAATTTTTCCCATATTATTTCAATTAAAAAAAAAAAATTAAATTAAAAAACAATTAATATTCATTGGGCAGCAGCTACAGCTATTAGCTTATCGAATGTAAAAGCCTTATCAAACTTAATTTGTGGATCATCGCATTGCTTTTTTGGCTCATATTCCTTACTTAGCTTTTCAAAAAAAAAATAATAATCACGAATGAATCTTTTTAAAATTAGAATATAAATATTATTAGAATAACTCCGAATTAAAATGTTCCCCTTATTTAACGTTTCCGCTTAGTTTTAGAAAATCGTGGTTTCAAATAAAAAGAATGTATTGTTGAATTTGTTTTCTTCATATTATAATCTTTTGGGTTATTGCTACCAAACGGAAGGTGTCGATAAATAGTCATATGCTAAAAATATTTCGTCTTGAAAGGTAACTTTACCCTTCCCCCCGTTTTTATAGAAATCAAGCATTTAATCAAAAATAGGGTGTCTTCGCCTATATTTAATGCAAACCAACTCCCCTTTATGTAGATTTCTTTTGCTCTAACCAATTTTAAGAATCATTTTAGTATGCGACTATTTATCGAAATTGTTTTCCGTAACAATATTCTAACCCCCTTTCCTGCGTTTATATTTTTTGTAAAATTTCTCCATTTAAGTGCTATTTCCAGTTTTTTTTTTCTAAGTCTATTTATATTTTTTTTGTAAGCAATAATGTAAAGATATAATTATCCAATAAAAAGTAAGCAATAATGTAAAGATATAATTATCCAATAAAAAAAACTCTTGCCCTTTTACATGATTGCTTACAAAAAGTAAAAGCGATTTGGACCTTAGGGTTATATAGAAAATAATATCTATAATAATATAACGTATATGTTCAGAGGAGTTTAGCAAATCATCATAACATTATTATTTTATAATGCGGGTTTTTTTTAAATTTTGAAAGATCTGATTATGCTGGAATCATATTTCAATGGGTATGGAGAATTCCTACACTGTAGATATCAGAAACTCCTATAATTTTTATGAATTTTTGTTAATCTCAATGTTTCTTAATAAAAAAAATTAAAAACAAATTGTTTTAATTTGTGATTTAAGAATAAAGATAATTAATATTTCTTAATTTTTTTTTTATAATTTAAAGAAAATATATGATTATAATAATTATCAAAACTAATTAAATATTCTTATAAAATACATTGTTATGAGAATAACTAAAAAAATTGAAAAAAAAATAATCTATAAAAACATAGTATAATCCTAAATCATAAACCATTTATCCCAAAACGTAGACGTTATACCTTCATGTTTTTTCTATGGATAAGAGATGCAGCTCGGTGACTAGCCTATTTATCTTTGAATTAAGTTAGGGTTTACTCTTTTACTGTCTACCTAAGAGCTGCATATGCGGGTGTATGGGAGGAGATTTTGCTACCACCTTAAACAAAACCTTATTGATATTCAAAATTCGATAGGGGCTAGTAAATAATTCGAAATGATAGATGAAGTATTAAAATCCAACTAAATAAAAGTGCCTTATGAATGGAGACTGGAATTTTAATGACAACCCTCAAATGTTCTAATTTAAAAGGCATAATTATTTAAGGAAATAGGAAGAAAAGTGCAAATTTCCTCGTTTTAACGGTTCACATGTAACGCTTAAAAAATGATTCTCTTAAGGGAACATCTCATGGAGGTTCTACTTTACTCATAATTAGTATTGTTTAAAGGCTCGTTATGAGCCTATTTTTAAAAACGGCTAACTCCACACTTTTGCCAGAAAAATCACCTAAACCTCAAAATTTCACAAATGTATGTCTAGACCTTTTTGCCTGCTATGAACAAAATCTTCAGTCTTTCTTAATAAATATTGAGTTAGCCGTTTTTAAAAATCGGCTTAAAAATTGCCGTTTAACAACACTACTCATGATTATTCCAGTATAAGAACAAAGTAAAAAAAATAAGAATTTTATGGCGAATAAAATTATTTTTAAGATTTTAGTAAAATATTTTATATGATGTATTTGGGTAAGAGAGATCAAAATGTTGTCGAGATTAAAAACGCCATTGGTTTCAGACAGTAGGGGAAGAATCAATCTGATTATATTATATGGAGAAGTGATTAGCCAAGTATGTCAGGGGTTTATGCGCTCGATAAGACAAGGGAGGGAGGGGCATCCTATGGAGTATCGTCGCGATTACAGAAGATTGCCATTAAGATGTCTTGCCTGTGAGGATAAAATTTTTATACATTCTGCCCCAAGAAATAGAGAACCACCAGATGGTTAGAGATCACAGGTTCTAAATAAAAGAATGATTTTTTTTTAAAAAATCAACTACTGATAACTAAACTGGGTTTTCCATCAACTAAATTAAAATAGGTTTTAGCTTTTTTAAGTCATATAGGGAGATGGGACTCCTTATCCTGAAGTATGTAATTCTTTAAAAAAACAATGTCTCTTGAAAAATATTGCGTGACTTAAAAAAAATAAATATGTATTAGATGAAAGCGAAAACAATATAAAAAAAATTTTAAAATTAATATGAAAGATAAGATAAGTATGATAAAAGGTAGCTCCATTTTCATTTTGTATCTTAATTAGATCTTATGATATTTTTGGATTGTATTTATATGGTGCATTATGGCATGCTCACCTGGCCCCACACATCAAATAAATTATACTACCGGGGTTTGTCGCTAAAATTATAAGTATAACTTATCCCTAGACAAGTAACAACAAGTATCAAATCAAATCCAGTCAAATATTTTTTTTTCATCTTAATTTTTCGATAGTACATTTTTACCTTCTCGCTCTTAATTAAATTATAATCGGCAATTAGTTATGCATTGCCAAATAAAAGCTGCCCAAAAAAAGACATAAAAATTGAAGTGACACAATAAACCAACTAATAAAATCGTACGCTATTTTTTTAATGCCATTTATATGTCTAATATCTTTTGACATTTAAAGAGTCCCTTTTTATTTTTTGAGTTCTTTATGATATAACTTTTTTTAAAAATATATTTATTAATTTATTAAAAGACAATCGGAGGTGGAAAGGTTAGAAGTTAACCTGGATAGAATTATATTGATATATTTAGTTAATATATGTAGATGAGACCGGGGTAAAGCGATTGACGGGGTAACAATGTTAACGCGAATAACTTTTTAACCATTGAGTATAAAGACCTTAAATTTGGTGTGAAGATGTATTTTTATATCTAATTTCTTACCTATGTTCATCTTTTAAAAAACTTACCTGGTTTTATATATTTTGTCAAAAAACTGTTTTTTACCCAAAAAATATAAAAATCATTCTCTAGTATATTTTGCTTTTAGTAAAATTTACATATCCTCAGGATTCAAAATTTGGCACACATGTTCCTTAATGTATTAGCTATAAAATAAAATTTATCTGACATCTTTAGCTATATTAGAAGTCACGCAATAACGATATTTATAATATATGTCACCTAGGGGTAAAGCTGTTATGGGTAAAACGGTTAAAATATAAAATTATTCACATTAATTTTTCATTAATTCATTTATTATAATTTTTATTGTATCAATCAAATAATGAGAAATTATAAAAGAAAAACCATATACAGAGATGTAAATATAATAAATGAAGCCATAAAATATAAAATAACAAATAATACTTCATTAAATTTGTCTGCTAAAAAATTTAACATACCTTATACAACGTTGAGAAGGAGATGTAAAATTGGTATTAAAAGTTCAGATCATCATAAACAAATATTTACAAATGAAGAAGAATCTAGATTGTGTGACTACATATTAGAAGCAAGTAGGTCATTTATGGGATTAACGCCTAAACAAGTAATTAAATTATATTGTTTGTATTATATTGTATTTCATAATTTTAATAACTCAATTTAAATATCAATATTAATTTGGTAACTTTAATAAAAATGCTCAATTGAAATTATATTGTATTTCATAATTTTAATAATGCTCAATCTAAATATCAATATTAATTTGGTAACTTTAATAAAAATGCTCAATTGAAATTATATTGTATTTCATAATTTTAATAATGCTCAATCTAAATATTATTAATTTGGTGACTTTAATAAAAATGCTCAATTGAAATTATATTGTATTTCATAATTTTAATAATGCTCAATCTAAAAATCATGTGGGGCAACAATTTCAGATTTATGATATTCCAGGAGTGTTAAAAAATGAAATACCAAGGGCAGTGACATCAAATAATATATTAAATGGATTCTTAGCATGTGGCATATTTCCTTTAAACCCAAATATATTTACAGAACAAGATTATATCTGCTGTAATAATTCAAATGCTAACTCAAATATTGAATTTGAAAATAATGATGAAAATATTAGAGTGACTCAAAATCTTACAGTGACTCAAAATAATGATAGTGATTTATCTATATTATTGAACGAAAATGTTCCAGATGATATTGATGAACCTTATCATGATATGTTACCATCATGCTCAAAAAATTATAATAAAGTATTCAATCCTTCATCTATAATACCTATTCCAAAATTATTCAATATTTCATCGGATAAAATATCTAAAAAAAAGAATTCAGAAATATTAGCATCTACACCTTATAAAAAAAATTTATTAATTCAGAGAAAAAAAAAGATATCAAAAAATAATTGTTTATGTGTTATTTGTAATAAAAACTATAAAAATAGTCGCGAGGGCGATGAATGGCTAAAATGTACAATGTGCCTTGAATGGGCACATTCTAAATGTGCTAATTATGATAATTATTTTACATGTCCTTATTGTATCGATTAGTTTTTAAATAAAAATCATAAATAAATCTTAAATTTGTAATATTTGTTAAATAAAACAATAAATATGTGTCAAATATTATTTTAACCACTTTACCCTAGTGCTTATCCATTTTACCCTGTACCCAGGGTAAAATGGCGAAAATGAGTAGTTTTACATAACTAATCATAGCTCCTAAAATATTATAGGTAGAGGGCTACACTTTTTTTTCTCTTGTAGAAGAGAGATGGGGCTACACATTGATCTATAATTTGTTGTGTTTGACTCTTGTTTAAAATTTTTATGGTAAATATGCAAAATGCCTATCGTTTTACCCCGGTCTCCCCTACAATAGTATCTTTTTTTAGCATATTTTTGCAATAAAATAGTATTTTTGCAATAATTTAGTTATCTTTTTGCCATAACATAGTGTAGTTAAGCAATAAAATAGTGTGATTTGCAAAGCGTAATGGTATCAATTGCAAAAAGGGATGAGTTAAAAAAAAATAGACTAATAAAAACGGTTATTATACGTAAATAATTATTTTTTTAAAAAACCTTGTATTTCGCAGGAATTAGAATAAGGAAATAACTTTTCCCATCCTCCGTCCGTAGCACACCGGTACTACGAGCATATGAACCTACATCTAATATAACGAAATAAAATATAAGTAACCATTAATATCCGCTTTTACTTATCAAATGTAAATCGCAATATCATTAATAAAAAATAGCTATGTAATAAGAAAAATCTAACTTACATGATGGACGTTCATCTAAATTTTTTATATAGTATTATTAATATATATTTTTTAAAAATAAATAAATATGATAAAATGTCTGAAAAAAAAACAATATAAATTTTTAAGTATTATATGCTAAAATTGAATATAGATTTTTTTCTTATTAACGGATGAACTAAAGCGTCAAAATATAAACAATTTAAATATATATCGATGTCAAAATTTAGGTGAAAATTCCATTTCCATGCCCTTAAATATAACGCCCAAACAATATTTTAAATTAATGATTTAAGAAGAAATTTGTTGTACTTATAAATTTATTCATATATTCCTCTTATTTTTATTGATTTTTTAAAAATTAGCAACATCTCTGATAATTTAATTAATGATTATCTATTTTTGCTAGAGTACAAAATAGGCTTATGGAAATATATATTACCTTACTAATTTCTTTTTTTTTATTGTGATATTCGACAATAAAAAGTAAAAACAGGAAATAAACATAAGATTAATATTTTGTCGTGCTTATGTCCGGTCCTTTATTTTATTGATGTTGTCTAGTTGGCACGCCTAGTTCGGTCCGGGCATGTATGGCTCTAATTAAATTTTATTTTTATTATTCGATAATCTTTTACCTATCTTGCCATCTTGAAAATATATAAAATACATATATTCATATTACCATATCCAACTTAATTTAAACTCATACAATTTTTCATTATATTAATTAAGTATTTTTTTCTTGACATTTTGGGAAGTTTTTAATTTTTTTGAGTTGTAAATATTTTTAATTTAAATTATTGAGAGGGTTTTAGCTGACTGCAAATGCCTAAGTAATCAACTGAAAATTCTTTAGGTAAAAATTATTTATACTTTATTTAATTAAGTTCTGATTAATTTTTTTTATAATTATGAACTAGTCATTCAAATTAAATTACTAGATGTATTATCTAAAAAGTTTACACTCGTTAAATAATAAAAAATTCAATAATATAATATATATGTTATCGTTATTTTTTAAATAATATTTTTAATTAAGGTTTTCTGATCAGTATTTTTTAAATATATTTTTTTGAGATTTATTTTTATGTGTTATATTATTTATTTTGAAATAATTTATTTTAATGTTTATATTATTTTTTTAATATATTTTTTTTGAGTTAATATATTTTATGTTATATTATTTTTAAAATATATCTTTTGATTGATAATTTTTAATTTGTTATGTACTTTTTTTCTGATATATAAATTAAAAATTCAGTGAAGATGCAATATAGAAAAGTGACAATTTGTCATAATCGTTATTTTCGAGCTTTTTTGAATTTTTACAAAGCAATTAGGTAAAAATATGTTTTATAAACATGTTAAATTAGAATTTCAGTGAAGATATTCTATAGAAAAATGAAAATTGTCAAAATCATTTTATTTTTTGATTTTATTCAGAGCAGTTTGGTAAAAATATGTTTTGTAAACATGTTTTAAAATTTCAGTGAAGAACTACTATAGAAAAGTGACAATTGTAATAATCATTATTTTTGAACTTTTTCAAATTTTTTTAAAGTAAATAGGTAAAAATATATATTTAAATATGTTAAATTAAAATTTCAGTGAATATTTACTATAGAAAAGTGACAATTGTCAAAATCGTTATTTTTGAACTATTAAAGTAAATATTTAAAAATATTAGCGATTAAAAAATATATCAGAAACAAAGTCCATAAAAAATAAATATAAAAATAATCTAAAAAATATATTATTAATGATCAAAAGATTATCAGAAAATATTACAATTATTTTTTGTAAGGTCATCTTCATCTTCACTTAAATTTAAATTTAATTACAATATATATTTTTACATATTTGCTTTAAAAAATATTCAAAAAAGTTCAAAAATTACGATTTTGACAATTGTTACTTTTCTATTTTAAATTTAACTTACATTATGTATTTTTACCTATTTACTTTAAAAAAGTTCAAAAATAACGATTATGACAATTGTCACTTTTCTACGTATGGTACATCTTCACTGAGATTTTTTCATAATATATATTTTTACCTAAAAAATTAGCGATCAAAAGATATATTTATAAGAAAAAATACGTAAAAAATAATCTTAAAAATTGCAGATCAAAAGATACACCAGAAAAATCATTTTATAAAATATTATATAAAAACATTATAAAAAAGATGTTACAAATTAATTAAGTAAAATATTAATCCTAAAATTTTTTATTATTAAGGAAAAAATTATTAATAATATAATATTACAAAAATAAAATATACACATTGCCGAAAATAACACATTGACTTTAAACATATATAAATCTTTATAATATATAATATTATAAAAAAAAATTAAATTCAAATAAAAAAATTAAAAATCGATAATATATATCTCGCAAATTGGCATATTAATTTGATGAGGATATTAAGGTTAGATAAAGGGCCTCCGAATAATATTGGTCTTTGTTTAGTATATCCTATTCAGCCTATTGTGATTTATAATAAATTTTTAAAAACAATAAATGCCAACTTGAAAATTAAATATTATAATATTTTGGTAAGTCACTGAAACTAGAAGAAAATTTTAATATTTTTTTAATTAATTATTTTTAACTATTCTTTTAAAATTAATAAGTATGCCATCCTCTTGATATTTCTGGAAAATTTTGATGTAATAATAATTCAAAGTTTCATTACTCAAAAGTTTTAAGATTTGCATATTTTTTTACCATAAATAAATATTAATTTTATAATGCTAATATATATTTTTTTAAATTTAACAAATATTTTTTTCCCCTTTTTATGGATTACATAAATTTTACCGAGATCATAATTTCATGTACAAAAACCATGACTTTTTTTTTAGAAGATGAGCTTTTTATAAATCACATGGATAATAGCATGGAAATGAAGAAAAATATAGCATTTTATAGAGTAAGATGCTCAACATCTTCAAGTAGCCATTCTATATGGACAAGTATTTAATATTGTATTATTTTTTTTTAATTTTATTTTATTAATTACGTAATATATTTGTAAATAATAATCTTCCCGTGAAAAAATATATTCTTTTTGCGTGACAGTCTTCGTTTAAATAGTTTTGGCACAAAGTACTCTTGGAAAATGGTAAAATATATCTAAAATTTGCCAATAAGTTGGAATGCAATATTTAGAAAAATTTGCTGCAATACACAGGTCATTTCTTTTGAAAAAATAAAGGGCCTTGGGGGGCACGTGATCGAAATAGATGAATATCATATTTTTAAAAGGAAAAATAAAACAGGGAGGATTTAATATCATATGCCATTTGGGTTGTAGGTGGGATATCAATAAATTGTGTAAATTATTTTATTTCCGAAACTGAAAAAAAAGAGATAAAGAGACTCTTTTGGGTATAATCAGTAAACACTTTAATACTGATTCAACAATAATGACGGACAAATGAAGAGGGTAAATAAGATATCGATAAATCTTAAAATTTAATATTTTTTTAATGGATATGATAATTACTCGGTCACAGTAAAAACTTTAGACCCAATATCAACCCATACTCAACGTATTGAGCGTTTATGGAGGGATCTTAAAGCAACCCCAGAAATATTGTCTTAAAGTCAGTGGTCCCTTATAGCGGCATGATAACCTTAATAGGTTGATTGACAAATTTTTGATTTCTTCCAGTTTTCCCAATATTATGGAGCCCTTAGGCTTTTAAAATAAGAATGGGAAGCTTCTGGATGGTCTATCTTTAATGAATTGGCATAGCGATAGCTTGTGTGTCATTACCTGATTCCCTCAAGAGATCAAAAAGTCGAATGGTTCCTGTTGAATTCTTTCATATTGATTCCCTTAATCTTTAATATTATAGGGAATCTCGTTCCCAATCCCTACACATTTAGGCAAGAAAATATCAATAAGAAACAAATCCCCTTTCCTATTGTAGTTTTCATTTGAATTCCTTTGATTAAAATTTGTAAAAAAAAATTATATTAAAGTAAATATGATATTAAAATAGGGAAGAAATTTTTAAAAAATTAAGTAAATATTTCCTAATTTAAATAATTAATTGAAATAATGAGTACATTTATTAATGTAAAGTAAATATGAAAAATATATTTACTGGTAAATCAATTAAAATTAATATGGCAAATCTCTAGAACGATCACGACAAATATGATATGTATTAAATATCAGAAAATTTCTGCAGGCAGAGAACCCACTTAAAATATTTTGATCGTCGACCAGGGAAATTTTTGCTTCACAAATTTGTCATTTTAACCCTCGCCGCGTAGCCTCAGTTGTTAGTTAGAATTCTTCTATTTAAGCCAGAAACCCTTGATAAGTGGAATTCGATAACTTATACATTGTGAAATATTCCCTAAAAATTTTACAAAATTAGAAGAGGTACTTTTGCATCCTTAAGACAAAAAAAAATATCAAATAAAAGGTTGAGGAAATGTTGCAAAAACAATGCGGAGATCCCACCACTAAAATATCTCCTGACCCATTATTTCTAGAGATGCAAAAAGTTATAGATGTTTGCCCTTTATATCCCACCTGCCATGTACCCTTTATATTTACTGACAAATTATATTATAGTATATTGAAATAAAGATACATATATATTTTAAATTTTATACTGTATAAAATACCGGTATTTTATTTTATTTATTTATGCTCTGACAAATTTCATTATAATACTGAAAAAGGAATGATGATAATAATATTAAAAAAAATAAATAACTGTCATTTTATCAATTAGTTAGAATTTATTTTTTTAAAAAGAAAACCTTTAATTGATATTTGTAAGTAATGTGTTATTTAATTTTTTCCATTTGAAAAATATAATAGAACTTACTCATATTCTTCTTATTAGCTAAAAACTTGTAGGTTATCCCATAAGACATCCTGAATATAGTATTTAAATATTAATATTATATAATAATATATATTATGAATTAATCTCTAATTTGAAATTTTTTCTCATTGCAGAAAGATTT